GAAAAGTCTACCATTAGTACAGTAATCTACCCTAACCAGATAACTAGAAACCATACAATTGGCCTTCAAATAATCAATATTCTGTAATATGTGAATCACATACCTGTACATACATAATTTTATGCTTTTAAGTGCTGGACAGATATTTCAGTTAAATATAAAACAATGCTTCCTTAATTACACATTTAAAGTTTTATTTAATACCAATATTAAACACTTGTTTCGAATACATCTGTTTCCCTGGGGAATACTGAAATATATATACCCATAAACCATTAAATATACCCATATTCTGGTAACATATATCTCTCTGTAAATTTATAACCATACTCTGACAAAAGCTGACTCTCTGGAACAGTGATATCATTCCTGCTATAGAGCTTTCCAAAATCAAGAACAGTGGAATGATATGGATCATTCTGAACTTGGATGTAAACCCTCAGTTAAAAGTCTGAACACCACAAGGTGAGTGTACTAAAAGTGATTTCCCACAGGATTTGTGCTCAGAAGGCACAGTTATTGGCAGTCAGACAGCCATACACAGCAAATATGAGAACAAAGATAGTACTAAGTTGTAAGCGTTATATTCATTATTCATAGTATACAGTGAGTTGATAAATGGAAAAATGCCACATTTGTAAGGACATTTTTGTAAGCTTGGGAAATGCAAATGCTCAGCTCAGAAACATTGTTCTGAGATTTAAAGAGTTTTGCTGATCCACTGTTTTCCCTTAGAAAACCACAAGCCATGCAGACCACAAGAAGCAAATGGTACCAAAATGAAAAAACTATGTATGAACTCCATGTTATTCAAGGATACAAAATTTAGGAGGAATACAGGAATAGGCTAAATAATATTCTAAGCTGTTGTAAGTTATCAGAAAAATATGTTAGCATCAGACTGGAAAAATGTCTAAACTTAGACACCAGTTTTCACAGAGAATGTTATTTGATAACAGGGGATATAAAAAGGTATGTGTGCTGGCATGAAACTTGGGATAATATCAGAAGAGGCTATTTCCAGTGCTTAACATGGAACCTGAGGAAAAGATGGCTTTTAGGGAAGTGTTATAAATGTCTCTGTCTACATCATCTAGTTCCAGTAGTTGCTGTTACAAATTTTTGACTTACATTTTGGGTCACAAGGTATGTGTCTGAACATGAGCTTTCCTAATTCTGTTTAAATTTAAGTTTTTCTGGGAAGGAAGACACCTGTTTTCCATTAAGTCTTTGCTGTGATCCAGTTAGAGGTGTCAGCTAAATAAATTCTTGGAAAGCACCAGGATACTTGACTGAGGCAAGTTCTCAAGGTGCCAAATACATACCAAAGTCCAAGGCCTCATGAAGAGCTATGGAAAAGGCTACAAAATAGCTTGGCAGGAATAAAGAGCTGGATCGTATCAATCACTGACATATTTCTGTTCTCACTACGACAACTGGCTGTTTTCAACCAGGTGTCTCCTCAATGGTATTTGTCTGGGAAGGATATTTCCTGGATATATCCAAACCTCCCTGGTGACTCTCAACACTTCTTTGAGATGTGTGCTGGACACTTCTTACATGCAAGGTCCCATTTTTAGGTGTGCACCTTGTCCTAAAGTCTTAACAAATGTTGTAAATGGATCTTACTTAGATACAGGAAGTCCATTAAAGGAATTAAAAAGTAGGCAATGCTATTTTAAACTTAGGAAGCTACAATCTTGAAATGTAGGCTTTGTTGTTTTAATTCTTCCTACCAGCTGGAAGTAAGTGCGAGCACATCTCCTTTTCTTTATGAGTGAGTCAAAAATTTTATTTTTTAGACTGAAAAGGACTCTACAATTTTCCTTCAAATTGCAAATGAAAAGATAGTCACTGACCGCAGTATAATTGCATTGCTCTGTCTGAGTAAATTAGCTATAAAAAGACACGTTCTAACACACACATCTCTTTGTTTCCAAAAAAGCAGTCTATCTTGAAATTCGGCATTTGGACAAGAAAGCCAGCAGAATGTGTAATTGAGAGGCCATTTTTGTCACCTTTGTTTGAAATCCTACTCTAAATGTGCATGATAGAGAAAGAATGTGGCCCCTGTTCATATGACACGAGCTGAAAAATTACAAGCATGAACAGCTTTCCAGTCAGCTCCTTGAAACCTGCAACTCCAATTGTAGTGGATGGGGTTTCTCAAAACATTATTCCCTGCATTTAATGCTGCAGAACATGGCACTTTATAACACATTCATCCTGCATATCACACCCACATGGCACAGCACAACCAGGAAAAATAAAGGAAAAATAAAGGAAAAACAGGAGAAGATTAATAGATGGTGAAAGTGTGGAGATAAGGCTCAAGGTAAGCAAATATGTGATATTAACTATAACTCTGTGCCCACTACCCTAATCTGGAAAGGAAGCATTTTCAAATCTAAAATAGGAAAGTCATACTTTAAATTTTTATACTGAAGTGCTTTTCAGTGGGTAGGTACTGTATTTAATCATGTGGAACAAAACAGAACATTTATGAAGCATTACAAAACATAAATTTTTTTGGTAAATTTGTCCGAACTCCTTCACAACAGAATGCATGAACTTTGCTTATGCTGACATTTAAGATTACCCTTGAAAGTAACCTTTTTCCAGCTTGACAAAATGGTTTTCTCTGCCTACATCTTCATTTACCATCTGTACTGCAGACCACTGCAGACCAGTACATTTCCTTCTTAAACCTCCCCAGAAGCCTTTCATGAAAAAATGAAATCATTGCCATCTCTGCTTTTAAATTTGACACTGATTATGACAGAAAAAGAAATAAATTAAAGGACTGAGGCATCCTGAACTGCTCTGGGTAAAGGCCTACCAGGATAGGAGAGAAAAGAGGGATGTTTTACAAGGGCATGTAGTGATAGAACACGGAAGGAAGATTTAGATTAGATACTGGGAAAAAATTCTTTGCTGTGAGGATAGCAGGGCACTGGAACAGGATGCCCAGAGGAGCTGTGGATGGTGGAGGTGTCCAAGGCCAGGCTGGGTGGGACTCTGAGCAACCTGGTCTGGTGGGAGGTGCCCATGGCAGGAAGAGTTGGACCTTGATGATCTTTAAGGTTCCTTCCAGCCCAACCTATTCTATGCTGGCATGAGTGAGTGGTGTACACATTGCACTAATGCCCTAATGCCCAGAAAAATCAGTTTTCTTAGGGCTAAGCTAAGTTTCTAGCACAGGTGTTTAGCAGCTCTGGGTTCATGTCAAACACAGTCACAAGTGTGTCAGCGGCCATGTTGCTAATTCCCAGACATCACAGTAATTACTAGCAAACTTCTGTTAATTCTGGAGAAGTCTGTACTTCCCACTATTTTAAGTTAATCGAAGACAGAACTGAGTAGGATTTTATGTGTTACATTTGAGCTCTGCTAACAAATAGCAACATTCCAGATCAAAATGTGTATTTGTAGTTGACATGGTAAAAATCACTGAAGAGGTAAGGTGTGAGGCAAATTCATTTGTGGAGGAGAACTTTAGGAACACTTTGAATTAAGTTCAGTGTTTTCCTTCCTATTGTTTTCCTATTTGAAAAAGAGGCAGAAAAATTATACTAACAATAGTTGTATATAGTCAGGAACATTGTAACTGTTGTTAAACAAAAGTGCAAATAAGAACTTAAAATGTAGCAGTGCGTAACAGATGTAGAATAAAACTACATTAACCCTATTCAAATATTAATTGATTATGAATTTGAAGCAACGTAAAAACCATGGAAAATAATAGATACATATCTAATAAAAATTTGCAGAGAGCTTCTTGATTTTGCAATTAAGAAATCTGATTTCCTACTTCACTGAGGCTGAGATAATCACAGAAAATGTCAAATTTACAATAATGAATCCACTTCCTACACAACCAATGTACACTTAAAATCCAGAATATTAGTCAAAGTCTCTCACATCCAAATTCTACCATAACAGAAGAAACACATTTTTGAAAGTGGACATCAATATGTTAAAAATTATGCCTTGAGCTCATACTTTCTTGGAATGCAAGCACAATGTAAAGTAAATCTTAAATATAAATGAGATAATCAAAATAATTATCTTAACAGTCTCTCTCCCATTTGTCATTCTCAATTTGAAAATTCAATCAGCAAGATACAGACAGTGTTTTTGAAAGCTTTCATCAGCGTCCACTACTCTCTAGTAGTTATCTCTATTGGAAAGGAAAACTAAAAAGAGAAATTATGACAAAAAAATAGCAAACTGCCGAGGTATGAAAGGACAGAAATACAATCGTTAAAGACATCCTCTTTCATTTCAAACCTTTCTTTGAACTGGCATGTAAAATGAAAGATAACATGTTCATGAAGAGAATATAATTGGACTTTATTACCTCATCATAACCAGCATATTATAAACTAATTTGGGATACTCAAAATTAAACAGGATAATGCACAAAAAAGGGCTATCCTTGAATTAAGGAGCTCTGAAACATACAAAGTACTTAATAATGATTTTCTCAGCCCAGACTGCTTTTTAGTAATTTTTAATGTTTTTTTCTTGATTTCACTTTTCTTTTTACCATCTTCTCTGAGGTTGCCCAAACCAATTTTTAATTCTCTTCATACATTAGAGCTTCATTCACTTCCAAACTTTTCTTCTTAGTCTGCTTCCCCAGATATTAGTTTTCAAAAACCTTGACTAATTACAGGTTGATGACCTACTGCAGACAAGCAACTTATATTGCAACAAAGTAGAAAAAGTCACATTTCAAAGTCTTTCAAAACTGCAAAATAGAAATTTACAGAAAATCTTTCCACAGGGGTTTTAAATATAATCACCATCAGCAACAAACAATTCATAGTATATTTCAAAATTGCAGAACTATATGATTTTCCTTCAAAATAATAACTTGTCACATAAACAAGAAAAAAAAGTTATTAGCAATTCTGTGTTGAAAATCATGTGTTTAAAAAATGTGAATATTTATAGAAAATAACATTTACTTATTAGATTTAGGTATAAATTCTTACCTAAGCTGTTTAAAAGCTTCTGCTTTCACAAGTGGTGTTTCTACAGAATGTTCAAAAAGTGCCCCTTCAGGCCCTGCAAAAAAAAAAAACCAAAATAAGAAAAACACTGTAATGTAACAGTTCAAATATAACACAACAGTGTTATTTTTTTAATATGGCCACTTTGATGTTGGACATCAAGAGAACATATGTTAAGAATTAAAAGAGAATTTAAATGTAGCTATGTTATTCCCATTGCAGTATTGGTTGGACAAGTACAATATAGAAGTAATGTAAATATACAGCTGTAAATTCTTAAAAGGGTCTGAAGACAGATAAATTTTAAACTACTTGTGACAATAAAATAAGTAAATAAGATTTATACAATGTAACTTTCAATACAGTTAATAGAGATAATTAAACCCATACAAAATCTTCGCAAATGCTGCAGTCCTAAATAATCATATTTATTTTAGACTGCTCCATGCATATCACAATTTCTGTCATATAGCTTTATCACAGATTTTCCCCTATTTATAAGCAGACTTGCAGAATATAAAATGGTGTTTCTGCATGCAAAATGTTAATGACTATGGGATCAGATAGTTTACACCTTGATATATGAGCAGTTCATTCCAAAGAGGAAGAAACAGTGGGCACCCAGCCTCACCAGGAGCCTCCCTGTTGGACCTGAAAATCTTCCAAGGACCTCCATTTCTGCTCTCCCGAGTGTTACCATTATTTCAGTATCACCAGCCCAGTGACCACCTTCCACCTAAGCCCCACTAGGATCAGGAAATCAGCTGACATAGGACAAAAGCCCTTAAGCAACACAGACAGCTCAACAACAGCAGCTGAACACCACCACCTACAGCAAGAGTGGAGCCTCTCAACTTCTGTTCCTTGGCTTTGTGAACACACTCATCAAAAACTGGAGAGGTCTTAGGTTGAGAGATCTTCTCTGGCTTTGAGGATTCACATACCTGAGCACTTTCCAGGTGAGTATGTAGCAAGGCAATATATTTTAATAGTTAGTATATTAGTCAAGGTGGCTTGTCTGGCTGCTCTTCATGCCATTACCCTCTGGAAAGAATTCTGGGCTGTAAAAATCCCTACATTACGGATCTGGGCTCTGTCTAGACAGAGAATGGTAAAGGATGATTAATAAGTGTGGTGTAGATTGTATAAATGTGGCATTACATTGTATTAAATTGGGTATAAAGGGAAAAAGAGAATTAAAAATTGGTTGGGGCAACCTCAGAGAGCATGGTAAAAGGAAAATAAGTGAAATCAAGAGAAAACATTAAAAATTAATACATTGCTGAGACAACTGATGGGAAGACTGTCTCTTCATGAGGACTGCAGAAAAATTCTCAGGATGTCCTGAGAAGACATGAAATGTGCTGCTTTTTCAGAAGAGTTTTAGCTGAAATCCTGATTCTTTGGAATGAACTCTTCTTGGATGGAAGAGAAGAACACAAGATACAAGAATTACCATATTAAATCACTTCAGCACTTTGAGCAATCATTGATTTACTAAGCTTGAATTTAAATTTTATTTAGCTATTGCTACTCTTCTCATAAATTTAAATAGATTAATCTTTCTGTAAATTACAAACTGTCATGAATATAATACTGGAAAATACAAAATTTATTAGTTCAGACAGAGCTTTAACCCTGCTTTATTAACATTTAATTTAATTTTCATTAAGATTATTCTCCAGCTTAAGGAATTAAAAATCTTTATCAGAAAATGCTGATTTGGTACAACTAAGATAATTTGCAGGGATATCCTGATATGTTAAAAGTGCAGAGGTGGCACCTGGGGACACAATTTAGTGGTAGACTTAGCAGTGCTGGGTTAATGGTTCAGCTTGGTGATCTTAAGAGTTCTTTTCCAACCTTAGCGATTCTATGATCCCATGATTCTATAAAGATAAGTAAGTGGTTACAGAGATAGTATCAGTTTCATGGAAATAGGGGCTAATGGAAGAAAGAGAACAGGAAACACCAGTGTTGATGTTCTGGGTGGTGGGATGGTGTAAAATGGAATGAAAAGGCTTACTTCCATATTCTAGAGCTGTCACTGCTAAGCAAGAATAAAACCTTGCCTTTAATGTGAGTAAAACTTCTTCATCAAACAGCATTAAGTTTTAACAGTATGCCACTAAAAGAAAAAAAATCTCAGGGCAGCCTTTTTTTTGGAAAATGGCCCTAAATTAATTTCCTGTCTTCATTTCCTAATTTAACTGTGATATGACTATTACTATATTTACTGTTTTATAGGCTAATGTTTATTAAGATATTGTAATTTATTCCTAAAATACACAAGAACAAGATACCAATTTTCTCAATGACAGGACTGAAGTCAGCAAGATTCATTAATACCCCACACACCCTGTGAGGCAAGGACCATTTGCCTCCTCAAAGTCTAACAGAATGTTTACTCATACCCTCAAATTGCCTCCTACTTAACTTACCTTCTGAGCAGAAGTGTTTAAATTAAACACACACTGTCACATTGCACTTCAGCATTAGCTACACAATCTGAAAGCTTTTGCACAGAACAGAACAAATACTCCAAGGGATTTTTATAAAAGACAAACAAGCAGAAGGGCAAGTAGTAGACTGGAGAAAGGGTGATATAAATCTGCTTCTCCATAAAAAAGCTGATCCTCTCTGCCCTGCCAGCTTTCCTTTAAGGAAAAAAAAAAGATGTGCAGGTGTGGCATTTGGGGATGTGATTTAGAGGTGAACATAGCAGTGTTAGGTTTATGGTTGGATGTTATCTTAGAGATCTTCTCTAACCTTTACAATTCTATGTTTCTATGAACCTGCCATGACGACGTTATAAAGCCAATCAATACAGTTACAAGGTGGTTTCACTGCCACCAGTGCCAGCTGAATGTACAAAACCTTCCCAGAACAAAACATGGATGTTCAGTACTGCCACACCAACAGCCATAATAAATGCCTGCAAAACACAGGTCCTTACTGAAATAATATTGAAGAGGATGCTGTTTTTGTCCATGCTCCTTCAGGAGCAGTAATTATCACAAAGGGTTAAACCCAGCTTCAGTTTCATACACACTGAGATGTGTCTGTGATGTAGATGTCACAAATGAGCCAGAGGCAGTGTTTCTTTGCCTCCTCCGATGTCCTTACTGTCATCTGGGACACCCTTGTGCATCCTGCCCGGCCTCCAGCTGCCACGATCACAGGAAGCATCTCTGGGAGATAAAGTGATAAAGTGGTGTCTCACACAGCCCAGGTGTTTCACACGCAGCTGGACGTCAATGTTTGAGCAGGTGAGCGCAGCCCCTCTCCCCTATTCCCAAGGGAGATGTCAAGCCCTGGAGCCCTCCCCAAAGCAGAGAAGAGCACTGGTGGGCACAGGAGCTCTGCCCAGGGCAGGTGCCAGTGTCTCTCCGTGCCCCAGGGAAACGTGACCACCCAGACCTGCAGTGACCCCGCGGGGTATCGAAGGTATCCTGGTTGAGGCCTTCCCCAGGCATTTGCTCTTCTCTGATTTGCACTGCTCTATTTTACACAGGGGCCATACTATTTTCTGACTGAAATAGTATGAGTTGAAACATACTAATTGTAGGAAAATGAAAATTCTTGAGGTGTTGGATTGGATTATATTACTCTTAGACATTTTCCTTTGTCTTGAAATATCATAAATCATACACATTTGCTCTCTGCTATATTATATTTTAGTTGAAAACTGTCAGGTTTTCTAAAAATCATTACTGAGCTTTTCATCATTCACATAAATAAGGAGAAGTAAAATCAAATAGTTCACTACACTGTACATAAAAAACTGCAAAATGTTCTTTGTGTATTTTAAGCCAAGGATTATCTGTTTTTTATGGTATGAACTTTTCAAAATTTATTTCACATTGATCTTGTTCTCTATCTAAAATGTTTAAAAATAGTCTCAGTATATATTAGTGTTACTAATTTATCCTTCATGCTAATAATATCATTTAAATCACAATAATTTATCCTTCATGCTAATAGTATCATTTATATCACAATTTTAATAAATTAATTTGAAGCAAAGTAGGCATGAATCTCCTCTCACTTACATTAATTTTACACTGAAATAACCTCACTGACTTTAATGTATTTGCTTTTGAATTTTACTACAGTGTAAAAAAAGAAACAGGCAATGTGTCTTAGTACAATATCTGCTGAAGTAAATAATTATCAATGCACTGTAAAGGTTAATATTGGATGAGTGACTCATTAATATTAGCATAACAATTTCAACTCGTGTATGAATGATTTTTACTTACTTTGAGCAGAGACAGACCTTTTCCAAATCAGTTAACAATTATGCAGTTTCTCATATCTTTGTTAAACACGCTTTTCTATTAAAGTTTAGGATCCCTTGGGCAAACAATAATTATTTGATATGGTTTCCTGGTCAAACAAAGTTGTAATTTCAATTAGGTTAAAAAGTAAAAAACCTTAAGATAAGACCCTCAGGTGTAAACAAAATTTATTAACATAATTATTATAACTTAACTTTGGCTTTGAAACACTAATTGTATAGTTACTACCATATTTATAGTTTTAACAGTGAAATAATATGAATCTATTCATTGAAATGAAAACCTCAAGATTTCAGAGGACCGGTAATTAGTGAAGGCCAAACATGACAGTTGCAATCAGGTAAAGAATATTAAAAAATTAATTGAAAAGAAATTACAGAATAATTACAGTATTTCCTTTGATGGATTCTTCTGATCAAAGAGAAATCACACCTTGATGTATCTATTTTAATGCCACCTAGAAAATGAAGGTTGACTTTATCAGGTTGTATGAAAGGAAGTAGCTTTTCATGTGATAACTTTGACATATTACTTTGTAAATGAGTACTTCAGTGATTTGAAGAAACAGCCTAAGACAAACTTTTCTCTTGACAGGTGACATTTAAGATATACTCCAAATATCTTCCTGTGACATATGTGCTACTCACAGAATAGAAATACAGTAGCTTTCACTTTGAAAGATAAAACTATATAAAAATATCAGAGAGATATTTCTCTCCCTAAAGTTTTCATGGTTCAGACTCATTACTACTCAGAATGGAAAATCTAGAATTTTTTCAGCTTCAGACATCATGCACTGGAAACATTAAATAACTCAAAAAAGGTGGACTATTGAAAATCAAAGAGACTCCAACATTGTGAGGGGGAGAGAGAATGATGTAGTTGATTTTATTTTATTAGAAGGTTAATTAATTACTTTATTATACTATACTATATACATTGCATCTAAACTGAGTCTGTTATGCACACACTATGCACAGAACTGCACTCATCACTTAACTCCCTCGTGACTGTCAGCGGACAGTCTCCACACACACACACACTTCTGGCCCTGATAGGCCAAGGAAACAAAACAACTTCATTTTGAATAAACAATCTCTATATTATATTCTACTTTAACACAACACAAACACAGCAAGTAATAAAAATTGTCTTTTCCCTTACTCTGAGGTTCAGAGAATGTGAATCTCAGAAACATTCTTAGAAAGAATTGTGCCTTGCTTTTCTCTATGAAGAGAATGTAGCAACAGTGGACCACTACAGTTCCAGTTATTAATGGCTTTAAAATAAAACACTCACATATTTACACATTTTATAAAATATTTACACATTTTATATATATATTCTTACTAGTTATTTATTGAAAAAGGTCAGATTATCTTCATATTTCTGTTTCCTAATGAGGTAAAACAAGAACTTGCATTCATGCATAATAACATATTTAAAAATGCCATTCTTATTTTGCCTTTCATATGGGTGTTAACTGAGCACTTCTTAAACCATTACAAACCTGTGACTCGAAGCTTATCTGTACCAATTACAACTTCATTTTCATCCACTGTAAAAAGTGGCTTTCCATCCTTTGAGTTGATCTGAAATTGCTGACTGTGGAATTCTACCATTTTAGGACCTGCAAAACAGAGTAGAATACTGGAATAATTTCATAATCTTTCTTCAGTTTTATATATAAATTAATAATTTTAATTGGTGTGTTAACAATGGAGTGACTCATTTAAGTACACTGAAGGGCATGAGCACTCATATTCTAAGGATAGTGAACTTGCAAGTTCTGAAATTGGTTAAGTCTATTTACATGCTATAATTTGTTGTTCAAAAACATGCCTTGGAGTCTTCCTTTGTAGTTGGGTTTCCAGGGAATCTAGAAAATCCCCCACAAATTGATCCAGACCAACATTCATGTCCTTGGTGTTGAAACTGCTTTGATCAAATGAATTTTTTTTTCCTTTTTTTTTTAACAGAAACTAATTATGAAAGTCTTTGCAGCATCATCCCTTTTCACTAGGGAGGCTCAAATGCTTTAAAATTACAAACATCCCATGCAAGAGCAGGACCTCAGCTCTTCCTAACAGATGCCAGTTTGGCTCCACATATCTAACAAATGCTACTGATCATGTTCTTAAGGGTTTCAAGAAGTAAAGAGAATATTTGCAATTGATTCTGGTACTCTAAAAATGAAAACAATATGAGCAAGAGAGTTTGTGCACAGTTCCAGATCCTAAATTCACTAAAACATCCTGTTCTACAGTATTGGCTTGGTAAGCAGATAAAAATCAAACTCTTAATATTCCCTCTACTAACAACCTGATCAATTAAAATTCACATCACATCGAGCCTGAATATCTATTACATAGAGTTGTCATCATAAATCTATATTCAGAATTAAAATTACAGAGAATGGTCAAAGCAGTTAAGACTCCTTTTCAGCAATTTTTAATAAATGTATTTCACAGACTATCCACAGGACCGAGAGGCACTGACCTGCTTCCTTCCCATTAAGAACCTGTTTTCCCATGTCTGCTCCCATAAATGTTAAATATATTCCAGGCAGTAATTCTTAAAAGAAATAGGATTTTTTTTTTTTTTTAGTTCTTATGTTAAAGGGGCCTTAAATACTCGTAGGTATTTCACAAATCTGGTTGGTAGCTGGTATGAGAGAAGCACACCGTGAGGCTCCATACAAATTGTTTATTGCTTCACTCAGCAGATGCAAAACATTGACTTTAACTGCCCACTAAACACAAAGAAAGAGTTAGAGAAGCCATAATGTCCAAAACTAGGGCAACAATTTTAAGGCATATAAGCCAATACTGTTTCTACCTGAAAATGGTCAGCATAGAGGGCTGAGCTCTGCATTATGATATGCTCTGCAGCACATGTGCACCCAAGCACAGCCTTATGGACCCCAGTTTGGCTCTTCTCTAAAGCTATTCTGAAGCCCACGACTTTATTTCTGAGAAGTATGTCGCAAAAAGTGAGATCAGAAAATATCTTCGTCAAGTGAAAAGACCTTAAACAGTATTTTAAAAAACGTCTTTACAGCAAAAGAAACAGTTCTGTGTAAGTGAGGCATGGATGGATCCCTGTCAATAGTTTCCTAGAGAATCTTGGTGAAGGTTTTATTTAAGGTCCCTTCCAACCCGAGTCATTTTATGGTTTAGTGATTGATTGTTCCTGTTTGTGCCCAGCAACAATAATGAAACTGGCCTTTTATGCAGTGTAGCTGGATCCTTGTGTTTTCAAACAAATCAAAGGTCTGAGTAAAATGGATATCATCAACTTTACCAGCGCTGCAGGGGCTGGTCCCTCATCCTTCCCATTCATCCAACCCCATGATTTTAAAAGCTAGCTTAATTAAGGAAAAACTCTGCAGGCACTGTGAGAGCACTCACTAAACATTTTATAAATTCCGAAGGTACTTTAACTTATCTTTCTTTGGAACTCCAACTCATGGCCTTGCCCATGCTGGATTTGCATTCAGACTGTTTGATTCTGGACCTTGCACACTTGAATAAATCTTTAACAAGAATCTTTAGGTCCACAGTTTTCTTAACACAAGTGCCTCATTAATGTGAGACAAGGACTGTCCTACAGATAATCTTCAATATCAGAGAATGGTATGAATAATAACTGATGTATTTTGAATCTTAAGAGGAAATGCTAGGGTAAACAAAATTCAAGTATATATTTTATTCATGCTAGAGATGAGACATCTCAGGGTTTCAAAAAGAAATAACAGGCTTTCACATGAATGGAAATAAGTTTATGTAATGAAAAGTAGCCATTAATTTCTCTTAATGGTATTCCACAATACACATAAACTAGCTATATCGCAATAACACTAATTGTATCATCCCAGTGAGATTAATTTTCAACTCACAAACAGCAGCCAAACTCAGTATCTGAAAGTATAATCTCCTAATGCCTAAATGTGTTTTGTTTACCACCCTAGTGTATCAACTACATATAAGTCAACTAATACTACATAATCATATTTGCTGATAAAATCGTACGATTAAAAATGGAACCTGACTGAATGCAGGTTATAGAAAGTATTTGTTTTCTGCTTGCTGTCAAATGTGTCACACGAATTTCCAGTCAATGGGTTATTCTTGCCAATGAGGCTGATTATTGCCTGTTGTTTCTGTGTGTTTCCTCCCTTAATGTGCAGCCCTGAAGCAGATCTTGCAAGTGACCTTCACATCACATACCTCTTGACACTGAGGATGCTGCTTTAATGGTGAACTTTTTTTTACCAAAAGGAAACTGACATGCTGCTGAACAGTCTTCATTTTCATTTGTCCTCACTCTTTACTTCCCCAGAGATTTTCCAGGGAGGGAAGCTCTTTTGTTTAGTGACTCCATTTCAGTTGAAAAGTATTTTAATAAACTGTCTTCTACTGCTACACAACCTTTGAATTCCAGGCCAATACAAATATAGATGTACCAGACAGCAAAGGATCTTCTGTCAAAAACAGGGCCAGCCATAAAATAAATATCTACTTAATGCCAATGAAATCTGAGGAGTCTGAAATTTGAAGAGTCTGCCTACATGTTAGCAGCAGGCAGACTCTTCAAATAGTTAGTTCTGCCAAACACTAAGCATTTTTAGTGTGTCTTTAGATCTTTCAGAAGGAAAGGTTTTCCAACATTGGATTTACTTCTATCATTAAGTAATTTAATATCTTTTATTTTCTTACTCTCTTTTCTTATCTGCCATTTCTAATTAACCTGTGGCTGTCAGCTACTCTGTGTGCTTTGCTCTTCTCCTACCACCTAGAATCATTGAAGTATTGGGTATAAACCAAAATCCTGACTGCTCTTTGGTATTCCTATGTAATTTCCTTTTTCAGTTAATTTTTATTAAACTAAAGCACCTTACTTAAAATAAGATCTCATTAAAAGTCTATTAAAAATGTAATACTCCTACAGATTCAGTTCTCATTCCATAAATGATAGAATACAATACCAATAAATGTAAAGTCCTTACTTTCAGAAACATAAAACTAGTTATATTTTCATATGGAACAGTATGGTATTTCATTAGAACAAAGGTATTATTATGGAGAATATGCAGCACATTGCACATACACATTTTATGTCCGTAACATACATCTCTCATAAGTCTGAACAACAACTCTAATACATTAATAGAACACTTGCTGCTCCTGTTTGCCCTTTTTCTCTCAGTTCTCCTTTTATGCAACGAATGAAACAATTATGTCCTCTCAGATCAAAGTAAGAGTGCCTTACTGTCACCACTGTTTATACTTTGTTGTGATCTGTGATTGAACTCAAGTCTAGAGATCTTAAAAAATTGGTCACCTTTTCTCACAGGCTTAATGAATCCAAATTTTGTTACATGACGAAGAACTTCAACAGGGAAAGCTGAAACACACAGTCCTCAGACAGATACTAAAGGAGATGAGGCATGATATTATGAAATCCTGTATGCAGACAGGATAGCTGATCTGTCTCTCATTCCTAAGTGAGTACTTTAACTACTTTATCATCTATATAATGGATATTCTTCTCCCCCTTTTCCTCTTTTTTTCTTTTTAAAAGGAAGTAATGAGTGTACTTTCATAAGGTCAACTCCTGCACTGTGTTTCAGCAGTACTCAAAGCCAACCTACTGGATCTGGGCAGAGGACAGTGTGAGAGGATCAGCCGAACAGATGGGGCATGATTCACTTGACAACATCGCTGTCTAGTACTGTTATACGTTCTTTTGTGTTCTCTGCCTGGCCTTCAGCTTATTTCGGATGTCCTAGAGTGTCTAGGACTTCTGTATCAGACCAGAAAGTCTGACCTGGGGTCTGTAAGCAACGTGAGCCTTTCCAGCGTGTCAGCTGAAGACTGGGCAAGATGGAATCACAGAAGAATGCAAGCCAGAAGTAACTTCTTTGGGTCCTACCTCCTAACCACAGCAGGGTCACCTCAAGTTAGATAAAGGTGCTCAGGGTCTTGTCCAGATGAAATTTTAATACCTCTGAAGAAGGGGATTTATCAGCCTCTCTGAGCAATCTGTTCCAATGTTTAACCATGGAACAGTTGTGATTCTCCCCCACCCCTTCTAGCCAGTTGCATTTTGCCTCTCTGCAACCCATGACCATTGCCTTTTGCCCTCTTGCTGTGCACCTCAGATCTGGATTCATGCTAATGACTGGACAGCAGAAAATGGCCTCAACCAAGAGAGGTCCAGTTTTGACATTAGGAAAAAGTTTTTCTACTAAAACAGTGGTTAAACCTTGGAACAGGCTACCCAGGGAAGCGAGTTCAGAAGTGCTCAAAAAATTAGTAGATGTGGCACTTTGTGATATATTTCAGTCGGCATGGTGGTATTTGGTCAAAGGTTGGACTTGACCTTGGAAGTCTTTTTCAACCTTAATGATTCTATCATTTATTTTGTCTGTAGCCCTCCTAGTATCGGCGCCAGTTAGAAGCTCTCCTTAAGCTTTCTCTTCTTGCAGGTTAAACAAACACAACCTCTTCAGACTCTTATACTTCATGTGCTTCCACTCCCTGGCCATGTGAACAGCTCCCTGGCTGCCCCGCAGCTCCATCCCACTGGAGAGGGTCTACAGTATTCCAGCTGCAGCCTCCCAGATGA